ATACAATTATATATATATATATATATAACTAGACGAACTTTATGGTTGTACGGCAGTGAAGCATCAGTGCCAACACTGATGTTGCTGTCATCGATGATGATGAACTAATTCCAACGGTTAGGTCGTAAAAAACATGTTTTGGGTAGGCAGACTGACAGATTGCGGTCAATGTCACCCGAAGATTTCTCCAAACTTAGCTCGTTTTTAGAGCTATTGACAGCAGTTCGGTATGCTTATATCGATAATTCTTGAAGACCATGCGTTTAGGACTGAGGAGCTGTTTTCCGATTCACTGACGGAAAAAGAACGGTTGAGTGAGATCGAAAGAAAACATGGCCGGATTCCATGTAGGTGTTCCAATAGGAATGAGTTTTGAACACCAGCATCATAATGGACAGAAACATAAGTGTTGACACTGTGGCTTAACTATCGTGCAACCGCAAAGTTTAATTTTACAACACGCTTAAAAACACTTAAATCCCTGAGGTGAAAAAATGACAAAAGGTGAGGGAGACACCTGCTGCAAGCATTTCGAGGTGAGTTGTATGTGAACTACTTAGCAGCTAAGAATAAACAGATTATCAGGATAACCAGTGCAGCTAGGGCAAAGCAGAATTTGAGGTCGCGTAGACTGAAGAGGGTATTAGTTTGACGCATCCACCTTGAGTGCTTGACTCAAAGGTCCCAACCACAAGGTAGTGGGGGGGGGGTGTTCCTGGACCGCAACTGTAGCCAACATTCTTACTCGCGGGACAAGGTGTACGCTGGTTATCTTGGAGGGCTCCGCTCGGAACCACTGACTCACTTGTCTGGCTGTAGGTGTGGTATGTCTCGAGGACCTACCAGGCTAGAATTCAGCATGTCGCTTTCGACTCAGTGCTTCATGGGCCACCATAAAGCGATGAAGGACAAGTGACGTCAACAGTTTCGTTAAGACTGGATTATTCGCCACGGGTCGTTGGTTGAACATAGGCACAGTTACCGATCCTTCACAGTTTTCTGGGACAGTCTTCTTTTACTAGGTGCAAGCAGGCAGGCGCTGAATGAGAACCCCACCACATGCTTGCACAATGCGGGTGGGAAATCATGCGGACCTGGAGCTCGGTGGCGTTTGAGAGAAAATATTTGGTCGTAAACATTTCGAAACCATAAGGGTTACCATTCAAGGTTTCGGGATCCAATCGAGTGGCGGCAGGTGGCCACGAGAACCGCTGTTCAAAATGTTCAACCCAGCGGTCGAGGCGCAAGTTTGATCCTTGATCGCCTAGCCCACCGGCTGTGCGGATTGACCGAAATAATTATCGAAAATTCCAGTTTCCTGCGCCTCCTTCATTTCGTTGGCTTTTCGTGTCCACCAGGCTCCACGGTCGGCACGCACACTAAGTTTGACGTAACGTCTGAAAAATCGCCGGGCTGAATCAATTTCCGGACCTGCGGGAATATTTCTTTGGGATTCTAGCGGTTTCACTGTTCTGCTTGATATTCATTGCTTGAGCGGTAGCGCAGTAACATAGGTATAATTCCAAGCGGTGTAGAAAGACGTGACTGGATGCAGTGAATAAGGTAACCAGCTGATAGCACCAGGTAACGGTCGATGTGGCATGAGAGTAGTGGGTATCGTGGTTGTACGTGGGCTGGCATACTGCCAGGGCGCCAAGACCTAGAAAGGAGGACAAATAGGGTCCTTGACCATAGACTCTGGTTCAGAAGCCTGATTAAAGGCAGCGGTGTTTGGCGGGAAAAGCCAGTGCATTACGTTCATTAGAGAACAATTAACCACATATGTTCCAGTCCGCAACTTTAAGAACCGAGAAACTGTGTTGGTCAGACCTCTAACCGCTGGAAATCCTTATAGTAAATGGTGCAACTTATGCACGGACACTGCAGTGTAGCTCAATGGGTCACGTAGACACACAGACCGCCACACCATGGTAAGGTTCAGTCTCCTCGTGAAATTCGAACTCAAGATCTTCCGGCAGTATTGAGCACCATACCTGGCCATGGATGACTGCAAGTGACAGTCTGAGCAAAGCACGTTTGGGCAGTATACAACGGAACTGTCCTTTAATCACACAGTTCATGTCACGTGATCTGGTGTTGACTGCCTCCCCGAACAATGAATGACGGCTAGGGCAAACAGTCCATTTGACTTCCAAAGGATCTAAGCCATCAGCAAGAGCCCACTGACTGATGAATTCCTGCCAGGTCATTGAACTGATTAGAAAAACAGGTTTGAAAGAAACAGACAGCGGCAAAAAAAACCGAATGCGATTTCAATAGAGTAGCTCAAAGTTAACGTGCAGATGTCGGACAAACCACTAATATGGTGCTATTTACCTGCACTCCTGCAGCTTTTCCCTCAGCGTCTTGTGTGCAGAGCTCAGCTGCCGTTCAAGTTTGACCAGCTTTTCCTCCAACTGTCCGGAACAAACGAACTATTTACCTCACTCCTGCAGCTTTTCCCTCAGCGTCTTGTGTGCAGAGCTCAGCTGCCGTTCAAGTTTGACCAGCTTTTCCTCCAACTGTCCGGAACAAACGAAATCAGAGGTTTGTGTGCAACCCGAATTAGAAGGAATGCCAGGAGAATCAGACTTCGGACTTTGGGGGTATTCAGCAGAAACGATCGCCAGGTGTTTAGCAACTGCGGTCTCTAATTTTTTAACCACAGCCTTAGAAGCAATCAATTCCGATTGCTTAGCAGATGCTTCTGACGAAAGGCGCCGAATTTGGGCTTGGTTGGCTGTCAGGACTTGTTTGACATGCAGCAGCTCCTTAGCCTGTAATGAATAAAAGTAACAGACATTTTCGGTATCTAGCGAGAGTGGCAATAGAGAGTTGCGGAATCATTGTCAATGGTCTTACCTGCGACTCGGTTGTAGAATGGGCAGCTTTCAAATATGCCTCTAATTCGGATTGCCGATTTAGAAAGGTGAGTTGGGCTTCGAGTGCGCTTTTGCGCTCTCGATCCAAATCCATCATGGCATCGTTGAGTTGGGATTGAAGTTGTGTGCAGCGATCTCGTAAGTTAACACTCATATTTTTTTCCTCTGATAGTTGTTGCTTGAGCATCTCCAATTGAATGATATGTTCCTCTCTGTGGAAGATGAATAAAAACTATATATATGTAGACGCTTGTCCACATTTCAGCACACCTTAGCAAAGGAGAAAACGCTGATTATGGTTTTCAACTGACTGTGAAGAATGGGCAATTTAGAAGGATGAAAATGTTTTCGAGAGAACTGGATATAAAACCTGCTGTCAATGGGGTCTTATAAGGCTGCACAATCAAAAAAATGCATGATGAAATTGGTTGTCAAATTTTAACCACCGCTAGAAAGAACATCACATTTATTTGGTTGAAGTGGACGCTTGAAACAATTTAAGATAAGTTATGGTTAAGATGTTGAACTGTATTGGCAGACTATGCCACGCAACTCTAGATGCTTTTGCGCGGTCATATTGAAAAATAAAATAAAGGCTAAAAAGTAAATGCTGTCTGTGCAAGCACATGACAAATGACCGAAGCATGTCTGGATTATTTAGCTGGTCCGTCGGACAATGGGGGCCGATAGAGCTCTCGGAGGATTTCGTTGCGTTTGATCGGAGAGAAGCCCAGCTCGCTGAGATGGAAGCCAGGTCATGCAATCAATAAAGTTTAGAAAAGGGCCGGAAGTGGACCATGGGAATGTCAAGGGCCGGTAAGTGAGCTATCGGATTGATTCTGATCACGAACACACAAGAGAATTGAGGAGATGCGGCACTAAAAGTTGGGTCAACTCATTTGGATAGCGTTAGTTGGTGTAGTCTGTGACACTATCCAAAGGAGTTCCCACTTAACGTTTGAGGATTTCTCACGCGCTTTATGGCTGTGGTTTGATGTGACTTAATGGAAAACACCTTCTTATTATTTGGTTACTGATCCAAAAGATGTGACAACCCTAACCAATAATTAAAAGGAATTCTATATTTTTCGAGTAAGTGACTGCACGAATAGTTTATAAGTTATGGAACAGCTATACCTTCTAAACCTTTCAACATACCATATTCCATATACAAAGGAATCGTTCCCGCTCACGAGCGTATAGCGCTTGAAAAAATACTTCAGCAGTAGTCGACAACCATATAAAGTAGTTGTTGCCGAATGGTCCGATAGCATAACCAAACCAGTAATCCGCAGTCAGGGAGGAACTGAGTATTAAGATAAAATAGGTCCGAAATTATTCACATTAAACTATATGAACTCGGATCCCGAAGTTATCCACCACGGGTCTATTTCATAAGTCCCAGTAAAGAGACCCAATACGAACTGTCAGTGGGATCTGAACGGTGGCCTCTTCAGTGAAGTCTCTATTATCCGGCGAATAAAACTTCCAGTTATTAAGGGTCCAGTGGTCCGTAGTCACACAAGTTGTCTGCTTGTATTTCAAAGTGCCATTTCTATACCACTAGGCACAGCTGAACAATTAGATCACAATTGATAGTGAAAACGGAATAAATTACGTAACCATTTTGGCATAACCCCATTATCATAGGCAATTATTGTTAGACTTGGCCCTTCGGCAACCTATCGAATGTAATTAGGCAACGGAAGGGTTACCTTTCACTTCGTAGTCGTTCATGATGATGGACTATAGAGCTTTGATTCCAAAATGGGTGAAACCAGTATTAATTGTTGTCATTCCTGTAGCTTTCCACTTTGGGATTATCAGGAGAATGTAGCGCGAGAACTTATATGATGAATAATTTGAAGGAGTTACTGCCTTACGCTAGGGCATCGTTAAGCAGCCTTCCTGCAACCAACTTCCATGCTCGGATGGTTTCATATCATGCGAAGGTAGATTAATCCCTTCTAAGTTCATAACAGTGATTAGACGTGGTGCCCAAAAATTGTTAGGAATTCGTGTGTACCTTTGTATTGACATTGAACACCCTTTTGGCCAGAGCAGCCGTCGCCACAATACCACCCTACTAATCCACGATCTTCTCATAAAAAAGCTCCGCGAGATAATTTTGAGACAGTACGCCTAACTGCTTGGGACTGACTGAACAAGAAACTGATTCATTCTGAACATTCAACCGGTTGTTGGACTCGTACGAGTTTCGAACACTCCATTTAGATTCTCAGTTTTCATTTTCGATCGAGCCTGGTGCTCCTTAAAACAGTCCGTAGATACTGTAGTTATACCAGCCTTCTAGCAATTGAGCACTACACCAAACAGCCCATGTTTTCAAAACTCGAGCACCCATCTGTCACTAGCGTCACGTTCATGTATTCCATTACTGGCATGCAATACTATATGAGACGCACATGACCAAAGCATGTATCCTCAGAAAACCATAATGAAGAGTTATTGGGCTTCTTTAATCTCCGACCATGTTGCAACCCTTCCACTAACTGGTATCACATTAACTGAGCAGTGTCGTGGTGTAATCCTGGCTTAACTTCACATTCATACGATATGAACCTCTTACTCCTCAGAATGTGGTCTTCTGAAGATATGAGCCACTGCATTCGAATTGACAGTCACGCAGCTGAGTTATTATCAAACGATTACACCCACCAGTAGTTTGAAATGTTCTTAACCCTAACCTGGACAACCAGACCAACTAACGATGAAAAAACCCATGCTCACTTTGTGATTTGGGGTAATGCATGCAGGCCATTCAACGACTATTTTGCGCCGTAAGTTTAGTTGTCAAGCTCACTATTCAGTGCCAGGAATGTGAACCAGAGGTGATCTATATAGATTAACCTTTGGGGTCAATTACACTGGCGAGGTATTAGTTATGGCTGACGTGTCAAGGGGTGCTCGCTTTCCTGATTATTGAAAAAGTTAGCCAGCGTTGAGGACTAGTAAGGTCGGAATCCGCGAATCTTTTGGTAAGGGCGTATTTGGCTTATTAATCTAATGGTATGTTCGTAGGAATGCACCAAAGCTTTTCTTTCAGCCTAGGTTCTTTACTCAGAAAAGGACAAATTGCACGAACACTGCCTTGAGCTCCTAAGGGGGACTACTGGAAAACGGCCCCCAACACATAAAAGTGACTCTAACCTCAGGTTTTGGAGCTCTGTGAGAAGGGATACGTTATCCTCCTCAACTTTTTTCATAGTTCTAGCACTCCGTTCCTTTTGAAGCCTAACTTGCTTGCGATATTTTTCTCGTAGACTGTCGTAATCCCGAGTTATTCGCTCTAAGGTTGACTTCAGCTGTTCGATCTCTTCCACCTCATTCGGCTCCGGTTTCGACTTCATCGTGTTCAGTTGACTGAAAGCCTTTGCTAACTGAACAGATACATCATGCAGATACACACAGATCTTACCTCGCGCTCCTTTATGCACACAGCTTCTTGTAATGTCTGATTTTCCTTCACTTTCTGCAGTAACTCTTGTTCCAGGGTTTTCAGTTCATTCTCCCACTCACACTTCTTGCGCTCAATCAACTTGTCAATTTCAAATAGTAAATCTTTCAATTCTCCTTCAAATTCTGGAAGATGAGGCACCAGAAATCCAAAATTTTTGAGACTGGTTGGAGGATAATACATATTGAGGATCACAAACCTCATTAAGGTTGCATTTCACATAGGGCCGATCAATGAACGGTTAGTTTCTCAATGTATAGTTCCTTTTTCAGTGGGTCTCAGATATGCCGATGCCACAGGGAGAAACGATGCTCCGAAATATTGTCACTACTGGATAAATTGTTTCCTTATAGAAAGAGGTAAAAAAAACATTCTGTACATAATGTTTTGATTATGAAACAGTGGCACCTATCAACCGATTACAAAAGCAGTAGTGTGGTGATTCACACCAACTGTGGACTCGATAAGATTGAAGGAATTCCATGTAATATGTGGAAATAATGGGAGCAAGATACTTCACATCAAAGTCTCCTAATGGCGGATCTCATCTCCATTTTAATGGTACGTAAAGATTGTCGAACGTGACAGTGACGTGTTTGGAAAATCAGAAAACTCTCGCATAAAATGTTGGGCTCTAAGGTGAGTTTGTCATGTCCTCTAAGGTAGCAGTTACGGAGCAAATGCCTCTCAAATTCCATAGACCTAGCTTATTTAGGAACTAATTTTCATGGATGATAACCGCTGTCTTAGCCAGATTGTCTCCGTTTGGGCGGCCCAAAAAAGGGGCATCGTAAATTCATCTCACCAGCTACAGAGCACCACTGTTGCTGTCAAACATCATGATTAGTGCAGTGATGTTTGCAGTAATATAAGCCTGCCACCTTGTTGTTGTGCTCGGGCTTCAGTGCTCCGACGATCCCGCTATCTAGGTTGGCTGGAACCTAGCTCGTTAGTTTTCAACCATGCAGAAATGGTCAACTAAGGGCATTCCGACGAGCATCAGCTAGTCCATGAATCGTACCACGAAGCAGTCCGGGGTGAAATAGCATTGTTCGACGCAATATAAGTGTGGCCCTAAAACCTGCGTACTCCAATGGCCCAAAGGTTGACCATAATATAAAATAAATAATCGCTCAGCTGTAACACCCTTCCGGCGCTTAGTTACCAAAAGGCGAGACGGCCCAAGTGGTAAGGACGCGAATTTACTGGCCGGAAGGTCCGTAGTTCGAATCCCACCTCCGCCTCTCGACTTCCCCTGTCTAGGCTTGGGCAACCTGTGAGCATCCCAGCCCTCGTGCTTCCTTTGGGTGGCATGGCAGCTAGGCACCGGAAGAGTGCTACAGCTGAACGGTTTTTTTGCCAAAAGGCATTTGATGTGCACAGTTCTATCAGGAAGCAGACTTTTTTCTCTCTTTATCCTTGGGCTATGTCAGTCCCGACCAGCTTAAGGATCGGACCTTGAAGTCAACGGTTCGGCATGGAGTACTCGAAATAAGTCCCCATTTCCAGGTTTGGCATTCAAGCTTCACATACCCGCACATTGACGCCGACTGTAAAGGAAACGACGACACGCCTTCTGCGACTTGGAACCCGGAATGTGAGGACTCCCCTGGGTGAGGACTGTGGAGACAGGCTTGAAGTACACCGAGATGTGTCCACATCAACTGCACAGTATATCGAACAAGTCCACGAATTAAAGTGATTTGCGTCTCATGTCTTCACATACTTTATACTTGCGACTGGAAATCGATTCATCCTTGAAATCAACGAAGCAAAGCAGACTATCCAAGGACATCTCCCAATGGACACCAGCCCGATCGGGCTGGTGGCATATTCGTCCTCGCTGCCGACATCTTGCTCTTGTTTTCGACCGCTATGATCGTTCGTCGGCCTCGAATACCACTATCCATCGCTACCGAACGAAGACTAAATTCTCCCATTCAATCTCCCCATATCAGCACCCAACCGAAACTATCCCCATTCCTTAATTATAGGTTTCAACAATCCAACAGCTAAGCTTTCAGCTCCTGACCCTGATTTTGCCCTTATCCCCTTAGATACAACCCCATCGACAGGGAGCATCAACGCCTCTTCCACCAAACAAGATACCGGACTGGCCAGTGCCAGACAATCCTGGGTTTCATCTTCATCAACGAACGCAACATTATGGATGAGATCGCCTTTCACCATTCGACAAAGTGGTCGGGCTATCTCTCCCTACAACCTTCCCTAGTACTGGCATTCTCCTCCTGTTACCACCGCTCCGTGGTGATTACACCGGCATGAGAAACCAATTAAAACAGATACCTGGTCAAAATTGAAGCGTCTTTCATCAGACCACCTGGTAGATGGCATATCGCTCCACATCACCAAAGCATGCAAACTTCCCGTCTTGAATTAAAATCCATCCGCACATAACAGTAAAAGGTCCCCTCGACTCGCCCGCAGTCCATTGAACGGAAAACGAGGCAAGTGGGCATGTTATTCCAGGACCCACTGCGATACGGACATTGAAGCCTACCTCGCCCTCTATTGGGAAGATGTTTGGGCGAAATGCCACAGATGATAAAATGAGACACGAGTACTCCCAAGGACTCTCTGCTACCCCTACACACCTCTGACGACTCCTTCATTCTCACACCACAAGACAAGGCTTTACTCCTTCACAAGATCTATATAGGAATTATAAACCCATACCGATTGCCCCCTATAAACTGCACCCCAGGCACCAAGGCCTTGACGTGATGGCACCCATTAGTGGCAAAATACCCGATTTCCTCTCTCTCCGCTACCCGGGGGAAGGAGTTCACCTACATCGGACAGCATCTAACCTCAAAAGATGCACCGAAATGAGAGCCTTCTTCTTCCCTTTGGAGTATGCGATTATCCATGAAGGTAGCAACCGGTAACACCAAACTAACCACCGACACATTTACCCAAAGTGTAAAAATAATGGAACGAACTGTAAACAAATTACATCCCAATTACTTACTCACCAATTAGCCCTCCCACTCAGTTCAAGATGCAAGCACAGTAATTGAGCTAACCACTTAATCAGTCTCCACTCGCTTCCAGACGCGCACCTCTTGTGATCCAGAGGCTGCGGAGGCGAGATGTGCAGGGGTTGGTATCGTCCTGAGTCTCCGAGCGGAAGTATCCTTGTTTGACTGGATACCTTCCGTGCGGTCCGTCTGGCAACGTATGTGAAGGAGTCTCACAAGCGACAGGTTGGTAAATGTCTGTTTATCGTGTCTGCTTACGCCCCTGCTGACTGTAGCTCCGACACCGTCAAAGACAGATTTTACGATGTATGAATGCCCCTCTGCGACAAGTTAAAAGCTCAGGCATTGTGGCGGTTGCTGAAGACTTGAATGCACAAGTGGTCATGCTTAGAGTATCTGAGAGTCAATTAGGAGGTCGACATGGATTGAGCTCGGTACGTACGGACAATGGGAAACGATTGCTTTAGACGTGTGCCGATCGCAGGTTGTTTTTATGCAGTACTAACTTCCAAAATAGCCGAAGTCGTCTTTTCACATGTTGTCCTCCAACGGTATGCCAACAACAAACTCAAATCGATCACATTGCCATCAATTACCGATGGCGCGGATCAATAACTTATTTCCGGTCGTGTTAGAACCCATTTGTGGATTCATGTACTCGTCAAGAGTCGCTTCTCCCCACGTTTCCCGGGGCCGCGTAAGGTGCGGAGGAATAGCCTGGCAACTGAAAGACTGGCAGATCCAGATGACAGATGAACTTACAAGAATCATCTCCTAGAGTCTCTTCCAAATGCTCCACCATCAGATGTGAACTCATGCTGGGACGAGATTACCACCTTTGCATAGTGCTGGGGATTTTACCTGTGGTACGGCACCACCAGGCTCAATCAAGCACTGGATATCAGACCAAACGGTGGTACTGCATAAAACTCGGAGAAATATCCCAGCGCGTTCCGAACATAACCGGGTGCGAAGGATTATCAGAGATCAAGTGAAAGTGAGCGTGCGAGCCGACCGTGAAGTACAGTGAACACCGAAAGCCAAAGAAATGGAAGTGGCCCAGAAATCTGGTGGTGCCCGAAGATTATTTCAGTTGATCTGTGCGACCGGTCCCCGGAAACCACCTGTGAGCGAAGCCATCAAGGACCGGAATGGAGTGAACATCTCGAATAAAGAAGAACGCCTCGGTCGATGGGCCGAATACTTCGAGCAACGGTCTTGGCCACCAGCTGGCACTCATTTGGAGCCCACGGGTGACGTAAAATCCTGGATGGTGGACGTGAAACCGCCTACAGCCTCGGAGTTTTATAGCTGAATACGTTCTCTTCAGCGCCACTGAGCATCTAGTCCGGATGACTTCCCACCCACATTGTTAAAAGATGGTGGTGAGGGTGGTGGTGGAGGTTAGCGCACGAATCTGCAAGGCTCGGGCCACGTCTGCTAATTTGAGATACCTATGGCATCAAAGCGTTGTATCCCTGAATCTATAGGGACGTGTGTATCAAGCTACAGTACGGACTGCTTTGTTTTATGGATTTGAGACTTGGTATGTTCGGGCAGCGGAGTTGAGACGTCTTCGGGTGTTCGACAAGCGTCGTTTCAGAACCACAGATCGTGTGGGTTTGTGTCGTCGTATTTATAACGAGGCAATTAGAAAGTGAACTTTCAGTTGTGCGACGGATGAGGCACAGGACCGGACGGTCTGTATCCAGCCCTCTTCGGGTGTTAAGCGTCGTTTCAGAACCACAGATCGTGTGGGTTTGTGTCGTCGTATTTATAACGAGGCAATTAGAAAGTGAACTTTCAGTCAGTCGACGGATGAGGCACAGGACCGGACGGTCTGTATCCAGCCCTCTTCAAAGAAGGCGGAAATTCCCTGGTGACCCACTTGACAAAACTTTTTGGTACTATGTGGGACGAAGAGCAAGTGCCTGCAGAATGGGGCATGTCGACAGTTATCCCTATCTTCAAAAAGGGTACACGGACGCTATGCGAAAACCACCGTGGCATCAGCCTGTTAGCTGTGGCATCGAACGCGCTCTCTGGCCTTATCCTTCGAAGGTTGACTGAACACAGGCAGAGGCAGATCCGTGAAAACCAAGCTGGGTTCCGTCCTGCAAGAGGTTGCATCGACCATATCTTCACCCTACGACAGATTCTGAAACAGCGACACTGCTTCCAGCAACCAACAATGGTTGTTTTTCTTGATCTGAAAGCTGCCTTTGACTCTGTGGACCGCCAAGCACTATGGCA